AGACCTGTGGAGAAAACTGAATGGGGATAAAAAGGAATACACTTATTTCTCGACGGTACATGGCACATACACAAAAATTGACCATGTACTAGGGCATAAAAACCTCACAATCCAATGCAGAAAGGCAGAAATAGTAAATGCATCCTTTTCAGATCATGATGCAATAAAAATCATATATAATAAAGGGCCACGGAAAGATAGACTAAAAAATAATTGGAAACTAAATAATCTAATCCTAAAAAATGATTGGGTCAAAGAACAAATCACAGAAACAATCAATAATTTCATTCAAGAGAATGACAATAATGAGACAACATACCAAAACTTATGGGATGCAGCAAAAGCAGTTCTTAGGGGAAGTTTTATATCTCTAAATGCTTACATAAATAAAATAGAAAAACAGATCAATGAATTGGGCATACAACTAAAAAAACTAGAAAAAGAACAAATTAAAAATCCTCAATTAAACACCAAATTAGAAATATTGAAAACCAAAGGAAAAATTAATAAAATTGAAATTAAGAAAACTATTGAACTAATAAATAAAACTAAGAGCTGGTTTTATGAAAAAACCAATAAAATAGATAAACCTTTGGATAATCTAATTAAAAAAAAGAAAGAAGAAAACCAAATTACTAGTATCAAGAATGAAAAGGGTAAAACTACCACCAAGGAAGAGGAAATTAAAACAACAATTAGGAATTATTTTGCCCAACTATATGACAACAAATTTGACAATTTTAGTGAAATGGATATATATTTACAAAAATATAAATTGCCCAGATTAACAGAAGAGGAAGTAAAATACTTAACCCCATCTCAGAAAAAGAAATTGAACAAGTCATTGATGAACTCCCTCGGAAAAAATCTTCAGGCCCAGATGGATTTACATGCGAATTCTATCAAACATTTAAAGAACAATTAATTCCAATACTATATAAACTATTTGGTAAAACAGGTAAAGAAGGAATCTTACCAAATTCTTTTTATGATACAAATATGGTGCTGATACCTAAACCAGGAAGAGTCAAAACAGAGAAAGAAAATTATAGACCAATTTTTCTAATGAATATAGATGCAAAAATTTTAAACAAAATATTAGCAAATAGATTACAGCAACTTATCACACGAATATACACTATGACCAGGTAGGATTTATGCCAGGAATGCAGGGCTGGTTCAATATAAGGAAAACTATCAGCATAATCCATCATATCAACACCAAAACTAACAGAAACCACATGATCATCTCAATAGACGTAGAAAAAGCTTTTGACAAAATACAACACCCATTCCTATTAAAAACACTAGAGATCATAGGTATAAATGGAGTCTTCCTTAAAATAATAAATAGCATCTATCTAAAACCTTCAGCAAGCATAATATGTAGTGGGGACAAGCTAGAAGCATTTCCAGTAAGATCGGGGGTGAAACAAGGATGTCCATTATCACCACTGTTATTCGTTAGCTTTAGCAATAAGAGAAGAAAAAGACATTGAAGGTATTAGAATAGGCAAAGAAGAAGCAAAGCTATCATTCTTTGCAGATGACATGATGATATACTTAGAGAATCTCAGAGAATCAAGTGAAAAACTACTTGAAATAATTAACAACTTTAGCAAAGTTGCAGGCTATAAAATAAACCCACATAAATCATTGGCATTTCTATATATTACCAACAAAGCCCAACAGCAAGAGATAGAAAGAGAAATTCCATTTAAACTTACTGTAGACATTCTAAAATATTTAGGAGTCTACCTCCCAAAACAAACCCAGGAACTCTTTGAACACAATTACAAAACACTTTTCACACAAATAAAATCTGATCTAAATAATTGGAAAAACATCAGTTGCTCACGGGTAGGCCGAGCTAATATAATAAAAATGACAATTCTACCTAAGCTAATTTACTTATTCTGTGCCATACCAATCAACCTACCAAAAAATTATTTTATAGAGTTAGAAAAAATAATAACAAGATTCATTTGGAAGAACAAAAGGTCTAGAATATCAAGAGAACTAATGAAAAGAAATGCAGGGGAAGGTGGCCTAGCTATTCCAGATCTTAAATTGTATTATAAAGCAGCAATCATCAAAACTGCTTGGTACTGGCTAAGAAATAGAGTGGTGGATCAGTGGAATAGGTTAAGTATGCAAGACGCAGTAGTCAATGACTATAGTAATATATTATTTGATAAACCCAAAGACCCCAGCTTCTGGGATAAGAACCTACTCTTTGAAAAAAACTGCTGGGAAAACTGGAAAAGAGTATGGCAGAAACTAGGCATAGACCAAAATCTCACACCATATACCAAAATAAAGTCAAAATAGGTACATGATTTAGATATAAAGGCTGATACTATAAGCAAACTGAGAGAGCAAGGAATAGTTTACCCGTCAGATCTATGGAGAACAGAAGAATTCATGACCAAACAGGAGATAGAGAACATTACGAAAAGCAAAATGGATAATTTTGATTACATTAAATTGAAAAGTTTTTGCACAAACAAAGCCAATGCAACTAAGATTAGACGGAAGGTAGGAAATTGGGAAAGAATTTTTACAACCAGTCTCTCTGATAAGGGCCTCATTTCTAAAATATATAGAGAATTAAGTCAAATTTATAAGAATACAAGCCATTCCCCAATTGATAAGTAGTCAAAGGATATGAACAGACAGTTCTCAGATGAAGAAATTAAAGCCATTTATAGTCATAAGAAAAAATGCTCTAAATCACTATCGATTAGAGAAATGCAAATCAAAACAACTCTGATGTACCACATCACACCTATCAGATTGGCCAATGTGATAAAACAGGAAAATGATAAATGTTGGAGAAGATGTGGGAAAATTGGAACACTAATGCATTGTTGGAGTTGTGAAATGATCCAACCATTTTGGAGAGCCATTTGGAACTATGCCCAAAGGGCTATAAAAATGTGCATACCCTTTGGCCCAGCAGTAGCACTTCTAGGGCTATATCCCAAAGAGATCACACAAATGGAAAAAGGACCTACACGTTCAAAAATATTCATAGCAGCTCTTTTTGTGGTGGCAAAGAATTGGAAATTGAGAGGATGCCCATCAATTGAGGAATGGCTAAGCAAGTTGTGGTATGTGAATGTGATGGAATACTATTGTGCTATAAGAAATGACGAACAGGCTGACTTCAGAAAAACCTGGAAAGATTTGTATGGTCTGATGCTGAGTGAAGTGAGCAGAACCAGAGAACATTGTACACAACAGCCACATTGTGTGACGACTAATATTGATAAACTTCACCCTTCCTGGCAACAGAAGTATCTAATACATCTCCAGAGGCCTTGTGATGGAAAATGCTATCCACACCCAAAGAAAGAACTATGGAAGCCGAATTGTTATTTTTTTTCTCTTCCATTGAGTTTTGTTTCCTCTTTCTGATGGTTCCTCCTATTGATTTTAATTTCTACTTACAACATCACTAATGTGAAAATACGTTTAATATGAATGTAAATGTATAGCCTATATCAGATTGTGTGCCCTCTTGGGGAGGGTGGTGGGAAGAGGGAGAAAATTTTTAAACTCAAAAGCATATGGAAGTGATTATTGATAAATAAAAAAATTCTTTTGATAAACAGTACTTTTAAGTAAATCAATGCAAGGTCCTCCAATTCATATTTCAATCCAGAAGAATGAAATTACTGGCAGTTGTGAAACATTGGGACAGTTAGGTGGTACAGTGGATATGATGGGGTGATGGGACCTGGACCCCTAAAAGAAAAAGACCATGTCTTTGAAAGCTATGGCCCTTGCCAGCAGGAAGCAGTTTCCCTGAACTTTCTCACACAACCCAGTACCTGGGTTAGGCCCATCCCAGTCTACCTAGATACTCAATAATCCTTTTAACTGCCGTTTCACTGTGGCTCTCCTAGAATCTAGCCCACTTCTACTGGCCTCACAAATAAACCTTGCTACTTTGACTGAAAGAAGGTTTGAGTGGTTGAATTCTTTTGAGGCAGACCTCCTGTACTCTTGTATTTTTGGGGTTCCCAGCACTCCAAACCACAACATATTGACCACCAGGCCTAGAGTCAGGAAGACTTATTATCTGTGTGTCTCTGGAGAAGTCACTAAACCCTGTTTGCCTCACTTTGCTTGCCTGTGAAATAAGCTAGAGAAGGAAATGGCAAACCACACTATCTTTGCCAAGAAAACCCCAAAATGGGGTCATAAAGAGTCAAACAGGACTGAAAACAACTACTGTACACTTTAATATGGCAGCTAGATGGCACAGTGGAGAGTCAGGAAGACTCACCTTTCTGAGTTTAAATTCTGCCTCAGACGCTTACAAGGTTTGTGACCCTGGGCAAATCACTTAACCCTGTTTGCCTCATCTGTAAAATAAGCCAGAGAAAGAAATGGCAAACAACTCCAGTATCTTTGCAAAGAAACCCGAAATGGGGTCAAAAAGAGTTGGACATGACTGAACAACAAAAACCTTTAGAGCTATGGAAAATAAATTTATAAAATATTTTTGTTTCCCAATTTTAAAAAACCTGCCTTGCAAATGATATTTTAAAATGACCAACTTATTAATCCTTTGACCAATATGAAGAAACAATATATTTTGTCTTAAAGACTCTGGGATTTCTAAACTCTAGTGCATGAAAATAATGGATAGTGAACCCATTTGCTATTTACAAAGAGGATACATTTGCTCTTCATTAGAACAAGAACTACTGAAATCATTTATGTTTTGGCTATGAGTGAATAAAGAATTATCTGGTATATTAAACAAATCAATACAAATTTTACTGCTGTTTGTAACTTCCTATTCATATGAAAGAGTTTTCTGTTACAGTTTGTTTCAGTGACAAGATATGACTGTGGTAGTTCTTAGAAAAGATTTACTAGCAGCAATATCACCAATAACACTTTTTTAACTGAAAAACATGCCGCCCATTAATCACATTAATATCATTTTTATTCGTTATAAAATTAGCTGTACAGATACTGATACACACATAATGGATTCAATTTAAGATTTGTGTGTTATACAAAAACTGCAATAATCCTTAATTGTATTTGAATAAAATATTGAAATTGCTGTATTTCCATGTACTGTTTTATGAAAAATGAGGGCGGCGTTGCTAGGTAAAATATGGAAACCACCAGCCTGGGGCGTCTGTATGGAATGTGACCTGCAAACTCCTCAGTCTCTGCAGAGATTCTCCATCAAGGATCTGTGGAATTGTTTTTAAAAAATATTCTGGTAATTGCGTTTCAGTAGAGTTGGCTTCTGTTGCAATCTTATGCATTTTCTGCATTTGAAAACATTATCCTGAGAAAGGTTCCACAGGCTTCACCAAAATGCTTCCAGGACACACAAACCGCTGGCATGGGAAAGCTACAAGTGGTTGCATGCGCTTACTCTGTTTACAAACCAAACGCGTTTTGTGCCTGCTGCGCCACCGTCCGCCTCCCATTAATTAGGAACAGGAAGAGAAATTAGCTAATTCAGAAGCGGGAAGTCACTGGGCGAGGCTGCGCATGCGCAGCAGCACTTTCCTCCCCGCCCCCTTTCCCCTCGAAGATTGCTAACAGTTAACTTCTCCGTGAAGAAACTGCGGGTCTAGGGCCATGCCGGGAACCTACAACCGCGGCACGCCCCGGGCGGGCCCCAGCCGGCAGCGAGACTCGCTCCCGCCCGCCCCGCGAGAAGCGAGCGGCTGTCGGACCCCGCAGCGAAGCCAGGGCATCGACGACCAAGGCGATGGCATCGAGGCGGCGGAGGACGAGCCCTGTCCGGCCCCCGGAGGCTCCGAGACGAGCTTCGAGACGGAGGGCGACGACGGCAACCGGCGCTTGATCCGGCACCAGTACCGCGAGCTCATCCACAATGTGCAGCGTGAGCAGGGGGAGGGGCGGGGCGGGGGCGGGGCGGCCTCCCTCCCTCTGCCGCGGCTACTGGGGGCGCCCTCTCCCTCTGACCTCCGGCTGTGCATAGAGCCCTCGCCGTGCGCCTCCCGCAGTGTGCCTCCCTCAGTGCGCCCCCCGCCCTGTGCTCCCCGTTGCGTGCCGGGCAGCGCTTTACAATGACTGTCTCATTTGAACCTCGCAGCCACTCTGGGAGGGGGGGTTTTGGTCCCCGTTTACCCAGGAGGAAGCTGAGGCTGACAGATGAAGTGACTGTTCCAGGGTCACACAGCTACGCTATATTTGAATTCTGGACGTCCTAACTCCAGCTTTCTACCCCTTATGCCACCTTGCTGCCCCTAGTCATCTGTATAGAGGGCTTTATAGCAAGCCTCTACTGTGAATCACAATAATAACGAGTATTTAATAATCTACACTTAAATAGCACCTTTTAAGGTTTGCTAAGAGTGCTTTACAAACCATCATCACGTGTTATCTTCACAGCTACTGAGTCACAATAATAATGAGTAATAGTAGCACACATTTAATTTGTGCCATTTATGGTTTGCAAAGCATTTTACAAACCAGTACCACATATCGTCTTCACACTGCTGTGCTATTATCCCCATATTACTGATGAGCAGACTGAGGCAGGCATTGCCCAGGGTCACACAGCTAGAAAGTGTCTGAGGCCGTTTTTGAACTCAGGACTTCCTGACTCCAGCATTCTGTCTCCCTGCGCTCAGTCATCTGTACAATAGGGTTAATGGTAGGCCCCTACCCTGAATAACATTAATAATGACTACTTAATAATAATAATAATAATGTACATTTAACTAGTGCCTTTTAAGGTTTGCAAAACACTTTACAAACAAAGATCTTATTTTATCTTTTCAGCAACCAGGGGAGGTAGATGCCATTATCCCCATATTACTGATGAGCAGACTGAGGCAGGCAGTCCCCAGGGTCACACAGCTACACAAATTTGAACTCAGTAGCTCCATCATCCTGGGCAAGATACTTAAAGTTTCTGAGCCTGTCTTCTCATCTCTAAAATGGCAATGATACGTGGACTGAAGACTAAACCTAAGGCTTAGCCCAGAGCCTGGCCCATAGTAGGCACTTAATAAGTGCTTGCTAACTTCTTGATTACTTCACGGAGACTATTGAAGAAAGCACTTTATAAACGTGAACTGCTATTTTTTTCTGCCTTTCTTCCTCAAATTCAGTTGCCTACACCCCAGGCTGAATTTGTTCCTAGCAATTTTTAAGGGCGATTTTAAACAAAAGGCAACAAGGTGTGTGTGGTGGCGGGATCTTAGAAAACAACCACCAAAAAGACAGAAGTCAGAATGTGGAATAGTAGGATCCTGTGAGAGGGCCGAGTGAGCCCAGGAGGGGAGAGAAGGTAAGCCTGACTGCAGATCCTCGTTAACGGGGTCTGGGACCAGTCGCACACCCTTCTGTGTCTCCTCTTTCTCACTCCAGGGATGGAGAGGCTGGCATTGACTACTCTTCAGTACTTTAATGTAGCAGTTTGTACTTTACAAAGTTTTCTTCTTCAGACTGTTTAAAGAGCATGATGCTGTTTATTTAATTATAATAATCATGAATCGGTTGAGATGTTAATGGCCCATCATATGCAAGTGGAGGCAGCAGGGCATAATGGACAGAGAACTGTCCTCTGAAACTGGAAGACTGGTTTCAAGGCCTACCTCTGATACATACAGGCTATGTGACCCTGACCAAGTCATTCTCAGTGTCCCAGATAACTCTCTGAGATTAAAGGTTGCAGAACAGTTGCTAGTCTGCATTGGTAAAGGGAGTTTTTTCACTGGCAAGTTCCTTACTCCAGTGGAATCACAGGTCTAGACCATATGCAAATCATGCCTTAAATGGGTTTGGTTTTTTTTTTAAAGTATTCTCAGAGCAGATTTGTACGCATTTTACATTTGTTGAAACTGAGGCTGAGGGTGAGTAACTTGATCAAGATCACAAGGCTAGTAAGTGCAAAACTTGGGTTAGAACTCAGTTCTTCTGGCTCCAGATCCAGTACTCTTAACACTACACACAACCATCTTCTGTAGGTTAGCTGTATAAAGGGGAGCTCATTAGGTATGGAAAAAAACCAAGGGGTTGGGAAGATAAAGGGGTAAGGATTCCAGGCTCTTTTAAAGCAATAAACTACCTTTATCCTTATGTGTAATTTTTTCATGAGAATTCCCAAAAAGTTCGGTAGCAGGACCTTTGGAAATACTTGCTTGTTGATGTTGCATTTTGTCAACGATATATTAAAGTTTTGCTTTTCTAAAGTATGTGTTTTTTAAAATAGAGCAACGAGAAGTTATGTTGAGTTCAAAAAGCAACAAATTAACAGATGCACTTGAAGAAGCCAACCAGCTGTTTAACAGAGGTAAGTGATAGCATTTAATCATACCGAGTTTTCAACTTAACCAGGAATATTAGGATGACTCAAATTGATGGGCTTATAGCTACATTTAAATTACTGACATCAAATGTGTGACGTGGAGAGCTTTGTAAAGACGGATTGGTTGTTTTGTTTATTTGAGTTGTAATGTCTTTCGGTGTTGTTTTCCTTTGTCATTTTCTGCATTCTCTTGGTTCTGCTTTCTTTGCTCTGCATCATTTCATACATCTCTTTACGAGGTTTTATGGATTCTTCATAGTCATGATTTCTAATAGTGCAATAACCTCCCAGTAGTTTCCTGTACCTGGTCTCTTCAGCCATTCCCCTAACATTGATGGAGGCTTTTACATTTTTGTATTCACGTCACCTAGCATTATTGTGCTACAGCAGTTACTCAGTGCATGTTTACTAACAGAAATAATCATGATTGGATAGGGGAGTGGAAAAGATAATCAGATGTTCATTCTTTTCAGTGTGTTTGACTCTGTGACTTCATTGGGGTTTTCTTGGCAAAAATGCTGGAGAGGTTTGCCATTTCCTTCTCCATCTCATTTTACAGATGAGGAAACTGAGGCAAACAGGGTGAAGTGACTTGCCCAGAGTCACACAGTTAGTAAATGTCTGAGGCCAGATTTGAACTCAGCAAGATGATTTTTCCTGACTCCAGGCCTAGCCCTCTATCCACTTCGCTACCTGGTTGCCTTAATCAGAGATGACTAAGATTGCATTAGGCTTTCATGGCTGGGAAAATAATAACATTAACCGAAATAGGGAAAAGAGGAAAATAATTTTGTTCTGGTAAAGAGGTAAGAGTTGTGTTTTAGTAAATTCAAATCAAAAAAGGTTAAACATCTGTTCTGCGTAAGACAGTGTATGAAATGATAGGCATGTAGAAATATAAATGAAAAAATCCCTTCAAGGAGTTTAAATACCATGTACACAAATAGATAGAAAGTCATTTAAAAGGCAGCAGAGTACAGTGAAAAGGACACTGTCTCTGGACACAAAGAACTTGGGTTCAAACCCCACCTTTGGCAGGTATTACCTGCGTGATACTGGCCTGAAGACCTCAGTTTCCTCAGGTGAAAAATGAGGGGCTAGCGAGACTAAATGGCCTCTAGAATTTTTTCCAGCTGTAAACTTTGGATCCTCAGGAGGGGAACACTAACAACTGCGGGAATCAAGTAAAGCTTCAAAAAGGAAATGGCTTCTGGGTTGAGCCTTAGAGGAAAGATTCCAAAAGATAGAAATGAAGAGGGAGAATGTCCTAAACATAGACACAGGCTTGTTCCGAGGGGAAGATGGAATGCTCAGTTAGGGGAAGGGGAATGTTTAGTTTGTGGGGATAGCATTTTCCAAGTGAAAATGTCCAGCAGTTCATTAGTCACAGGTTGAATTTAGTCACTTTGACTGTTCTATCATATCTTGATAATATTTCTAATTTTTTGAACAGTGTCCCAAGCAAGAGAAGCAGCCCTCGATGCCCAGTTTCTTGTTTTGGCTTCAGACTTGGGTAAAGAAAAGGCAAATCAGCTGCATTCTGATATGACCTTATTTGATCCAACATCATATGCTGAAGATTTAGTAAGTTCAAAGCCACTGAATTTTAGGAACCCCAGTTTTACTTTACCAGATTTTGAAAAGGTTTTTAAATGGCCTTCTGTTCCAAACTTACATGTTAATATTCCATTTTCTTTGTGATGGAATCAAGCATGGAGCCAGTAGATAGGTATGAAATAATGACTTGGGTATTAGACATTTACTATAATCATTGAGGTGTGTATGTCACTTTATCATAATGTCTGATGGTCTCTTTCCTTCAACACTATAAGATTTTCTTTTGTTATTTGTGAAATTGGGGCTGACTGAATTTAAAAGGTTATTTAAAATTTTTATTTATTTCCTTTATAGTAGGATAAAATTGAAATCAAGGCCAGGTAGTTCTACACTCTGATCTTAGTATTTCAAATAATAAGTTGTTAATAAGATTGGCTTGTTTCAAAAGAGTACCTGCTACTGAACAGATAGCTAAGTTAAAGTTTATAGACAGTTTAAATACGGATTCTTAGTACATTCTGTCCCCCCTTTTTACCGCTCTGACACTGTCACTGTAGAACCTGAAGGGGGCTTCATGGTACCAAAGACTGTTTTATATTTTTTTCTTTCTTTCATGAATTTCCATAACTAAAGAAATCTTTGCCAAGGGGCCAGCCTACTAATGATGAGACTTTCTATACTTAGCTACACTTAGTAGGTCCTCAGAAAGCACCTACTCATTCTGTTGGCAGGACTGAACTTGAAGCCTTTCCCACGTCTACACCAACCAGAGCTTGCCTCTGTTCACCTAGCCTTTGAGAGTCCAGCGGCACCACCAGACCACAGTGAGGAAGGAGTAGGTCTTTGAGGAATGGTCTGGTCATACATAATGGATAATTGACTAAATATATTGTTGGTACTCTAAATATGAATTCCATGTTTGGTGACCAATAAGTGGACATACTACTGGAGGAACTGAATAGTATAAATCTTGATATCCTTGCTATAAATGAAAATAGAAGGTAAAATGAAATTATAACTAAAAGGAAGGATGGCTCACAACTTCCCCTTGCAGTGAGGTAAATAGTTAGAGGATTCAGTTTTATTGTGCATCCAAAGACAACAAATTCTCATTAGGCCATTCATTGGTCATTGCACTTCTGATAATTATTTGCAAAAAGTACCATGAAAATAATTGCATATCATACACAAATATTTGTTGCACAGGATAAAGAGGTAAGAAATTGTCCAAAAGATTTGATTTAATTTTGAGGATCTTAACATATATTTGGATACTTGGTAAAACATAAATGTCATAGTAGGAGTAGGTCAAGATGATGAAAAATGATGGAAAAACATTAAGCGCTTACATTCCAGGCATGGTGTTAAGCACTAGGACCACAAATACAAGCAAAAAGAAATATAGGCCCTGTCTTCATGGAGCTTACATTCTAAAGGATGAAGACAGCACAGAAAAGGGAACTGAAAAGGGAGTAAGGAGGGGGCAGAGGGAGAGGAAGGTACCTTCATGGGGCATGGTAAGGGAATCCAGGTTTGCACTCTGGTGAGAAATGAAATGATGGCTGCTCTGAGCCTCCTCCTTAAATGGGAGGAGCCGTCCAATCAGAGAGAGGAGCGAATATCAAGATATGGATTCCAGGGCTGAAATGATCTTTAAGGAAGAAGAGATTTTTGGGATATGATGGGGGAGTTTGAATTGCAGCCTGGTGAGAAATGAATAATGAATGAAAGAATCAGAAGACTTGGGCGACATAAAAGTCTCTCACCGTTACACTGTGTTTACTTTCTTAGAAGAATTAGAAGGCTGTGGACATGGCAAACAGCAGTGAACATCAATGTATGATGAAATTAATTATGTTTTAATAGTCAAGAAAGAATCGGTTTTTGATGTGATTTGAAATCAGCTGTTTTGGGATAGTTACACTACCAGCTTGTTATCAAAATGAATACAAAACTAGAAGAATAAAGTTGAAAAAAAAAATGGAATGCAACTTAACAGCTCCCACCTTAACAAGTTGGCAAAAACAAATAAATAAACAAACAAACCAAAAAAAACCCAACCACGACGACCCTTACAATTTAACTAATTAAATCAAAAGTTTAACTAATATAAATCAATTGCAGAAACAAGGGTACCAAAAGAACCTAGAAAGTGCCTTAGTCAGCAGATACTTGTCTTATTTGCCAAGTGGAGATATACAGAAGCTAAGGAAAACACTGGATTATGATATGAACTTCTTTGTTAAACCTTACAGAAAAGAATGGTAAAATATGATAAATGTTCCCTCTTAAAACAATAGTAAAACCAGTTTAAAGTGAGCTTTGTTGGAGTGACCCAACTGAGGCCAGCAGGAAAATACACACAAGATTTGTCAAAATTGTTATATCAAGCCCTTGCCATCATCAAGAAGAGAAAGGCCACCGCACTGAATTTTAACATCTCAGTTTCCTCAGAGATAGCGAAATGTAGAAAGGGAGCTGAAGAAAATACAAGTGGTTAAAGCATCTGAACTAGGTTGGGTGTACACAGAGAAATGATCTGTGTTGGAGGGGGCATGAGTGTGATGTCAGGGAGGGATCCATTCTCCTGAAAAAGGGAAAAATATCAACGGCAATCAAGATAATGCTGCATGGTAGAGTGGAAACTGGCTTTGGAGTCAGAGGACCCGAGTTCAAATCCTAGCTCTTCCACATCTATCTGTACGGTCTTGGGCAACTTACCTTTTCTGGGCCTCAGTTTCTTCATCAGTAAACGAGGAGGTTGCACTTAATGATCTTTAAGGTCTTTTGGATTTCTAAATCTAAGATCCTAGGACCTAACATTGACTACTTCCTATCTATATAAAGTTTATATGAGAATAATTACACATGTTCCGAGAACCTCCTTGGTGAGGATATTAAAAGCAAATTGGTTTTCACAAGCAATATTCCCCTGTAGAATACATCTTTAACATCACACAATTGACCAAAAGATATACATACATATATACATACATACATACATAAGAAAGAATATCAGCTCTGCTTTCTGTTGATTGTTTTTTAATTGATTCAGTGGAGCAGAATGCTGTGTTACAGGCTTTCTTCCAGCAAGGCGTCTTTCTTTCATATATCAAAGTTATACATAATTTCCTGAGGGAGGTAACAGAACTTTGACCCTCATCCAAAAAGGAGTAGGATACAGATAAGTGTTTCCTCATGGAGATGCAGAGTCTTTGTCAAAATGGGCTCCGCTACAGGTGGTGAGGTGCTGCAGATGCTCCTGTCTGCAGATGTCGTTGTTGTTACTATCCTCATTGTGTTGAGCACAAGAACGTTTGCAGGTACGTGCTCAGTTTAGGCCGATCCTCCATGTGGGAAAGAGAAAGCGAAGGAAGAAGACTGCCTCTTGTCTAGGCCTATGATTGTAGTTAAATGGATAGCCCATGGAGTTTGTCAAGTATGTGTATCTCAGACCGATCTGAAAGTGGACGGTCGTTGTTCTCTTGGACCCAGAACTGGATGGGATGAAAGCAGTGTGAATTACCTTTGGGAAATGGCAAGATCTTTTTATTTCCCCAAGCTTCTCCTTGAAACAAAAGCTTATCTTTTTTATACCAATATTTCACCAGTGTTTTTATAAAGCTGTGACTGTAGTCCCCAACAAGTTGAAAGTAGATACCACCTGGAGAACACTAAGGAGGCATATGATGGGTGTGAGCAGGCTACACTCATAACAGGCAAGGAATTGTAGCACCTACTGTACAGAATTGTTATGGGGATCAATTAAGATAATGAAATCATTTTGCAAACCTTAAAGTGCTATATAAATGTTAGCGAGAATCATCATTATTTTTATGGAAAAACAATGGATGCTGGGAACAAGGATGTCCACTGTTAAATCTGGCCTCAGACATTTACTAGCTGTGTGATCCTCATTAAATTGTTTTACCTATGCTTGCGTTGGTTTCCTCAACTGTAAAATGGGGATAATAGCACCTCAACATCTCACGGAGCTGTTGTGAGGATCAGATGAGATCGTATTTGTAAAATGCACTTGGCACGGAGCCTGGCACAGAATCGGTGCCGTATAAATGCTTGTTCCATTCCCCTGTTGTCCCATTCCCTGTATCTTATTATTTGATGAAGTGCTAGAAATGCTAGCTGCTTCAGCTCTTCTGTGATCTCGTTATTAGGATAACTCTCTCCATGGATGCAAATTATAGCTCATCTCTGCCCTCTCCTGTGGGGCTCTTCTCTGTGCTGCCTGTAATTTCACATGCTTGGGTGTCTTCCTGGATGCCAATGAAACGAGCATTCATTAGCATCTATGGTGTTATAAGGTATTGTGTAAGGACTAAGATAAGCCCCTGTCATCAAGGAAAATGCATTTGGGGGTGAGTGGGTGTGGAATACAACATGTGCACAGAATATTAAGTGCAAAATAGACACAAATTTCCAGGAGGAAAGACTGGATCTATCACAGCAGACTTCCTGAAGGAGGTGGCACTTGAGCTAAGGTTTAAAAGAAGCCAGGAAGTCTACAGAGAGGCAGAAGCAGTTCATTCTAGTTATGGGGGTCCTGTTTGCAGATAGTGCAGGTGTACATAAGTGGGAGCTGGAGGGTTTACGAGGAATACTAATAGTAATAAGCTTGGCTAGATCAGCACTTCTTAAACTGTGGGTCACGACTCCATATGGGGTCACAAAAAATTTGGCAACAGTAAAAGGTTTATGAATATGCAATGACCAAAGATTAATTCAAAATCAAACTTGTAATGAGTTTAAGGTATTTCTGGCAGCACCTGCCGTTGCATCATGCAGCTTCACAGCAGCCTTGGTTCTGAATGCACAGCAAGAACATGCTGCCCTACACATGCCCTCAGGCCCGGCATAGCTGAAGGGGTCATGAGAGGGAAAAGCTTAAGAAGCCCTGGCCTAGATAATAGGGGGAAAGGCTGGTAAGTAGGGAGAGATTGTAGATAGTATTAATAGCCACCATGTATGTAATGCTTTAAAACTCGCACTTTATATAAGATGTCCTGTAAAATCTTAGTGCAGTTTTAAACTTACCTTCAAAAGGTATAAGTGCTGGACTTAGAAAAAAATCATTACAATTTTTAAAAGTTTTAATAAGGTGGGGAACCCTTTCATCATGCATTGTGTTTGGGTCAGTTTTGGGATGACTTCCTCAGCCTAGTGGATAGGTATGGAAAGTCCTTTTGCTTGGCCATGTTGGTCACTTTTTTCTTGAGGGTCATGTCAAAGCTGTCATATATGCATCAAAACCTCATTCTTGATAGAATCTTAAGACTAGAATTGCAAATGCAGTCTTTTCACTAAGCAGCAACAAATGAAAGTTTTTTTTTTTTTACAAAAGTTTGAAAATCAACTAGAGTGATATATGAACACACAATGGTGGTTATGTTGACATTTAATAATAAATATCAATATTGTTAAAAAAATCATTAACCTTTTAAATGCTGTTTTTCCTAAGTTTGTAGCATTTTTACTTCTGAAGTTATCAAAGAGTGTTACTCTTCTAAGATTTTTGGGACACCTGATGTTTGAGCTACACAACAACCTTGTGAGATAGGTACCACAGGTATTACTATTCTCATTTTACAGATAGTAAAATTGAGGCTCAGCAAACATAAGTAGCTTGCTATAATCATATAGCTAGTGTTAGTAGTAGGCTTTATCTTCCTGTTTCCCAAGTACAGAAGAGATCAAAAGGCCAAGCTCCCAAAGGAAATAGAAGGATGTGATAAAGTGGAAGGGTGGCTTTGGCAAGGAGACCAGAGGAGTGGAGGTATCGGGGTTGGAGTATTAGAATAGAGATCTTGGTGAGGACTAACTGGAAATAATTTACAAGTTGTTAATCTTGAATTCGTTGAGTGTGACCTGGAGATTGGTGGATGAGGCTGTGGACATAATGATATAATTGGAAGATGTGGACTGCATAGGACCTGAAGTTGCTTATTGGGGGGCAGGCAGAAAGAGGTTTTGGAAGTAGTAGTGGGGAGCAATGAGTATAACCAACTTCTCTTGCTGGCCCTGTGTATCCAGGGCATGAGAGAAATCTCAGTGTTGTAGAAGATGGTAAAGGATGGAGTTTTAGTTATTGCCAAAAGGTGGTGGTAGAGGTGTAGAATGTAAAGGCATTTCTCAGTGATCAGGTAAGGATTCTAGATGGTACAGTGGAAATGGTAGACCAAGTAGTGGAGGAACTTTGAAAAGACCACTAAGCTGGATTGTGATTGGAAATTTTTGCCTGGGCAGATTGTGATTCTGAGTCTCAGGGATTTGAGGAGGAGCTGGAAGGAATTAACCAGCCATAAGGCAAGTGAAGTTCCAAGTAGGGAGAAGTTTATAGATCAGCATGACTTCAGGGTTCTAGTCCTATCCCCCAGATACTTTGAACCTTTTCTTAACAGCATGCCCTTTCATGATCCTAATTCAAATGTAATGGAATATCTTTAGTTTTCTTATATTAGCAAAGAAGTGATTGTGACTGACTTTATATCTAGGGCAAAAATTGACCATACAATTGGGCCTCGACTTTGATACCATTTTGACTTCTGTTGCACTTAAGGTTTGTTCCTTTCAGCCATACTTTAAGCTCTCCAAAGACACAGGAACCAGATCTAAAAATTTTCTTCTCCTCCTCAATGCTTAGTATCATGATGCATGCTGTTCAGTTAATATTTGCTTAATAATATTCCATGTATTTCAAGAGTTCTGTTTTAATAAAATTTGGGTGGTGAATAGCATATTTTAAGGATTCCTTTTTTTAAGTAATTTTTTTTCTAAGTAATCTTTGAATTTCATTATTGTGTCACTGGCCTTATTAAAAATGGGTACTTGCATCTGTGGCTCTTCCAACAATACCATAATCTCTGATCTGAGGACAGAAAAGTGTTTTGCATATATCAGATACTTAGAAATTGATTTGAATTTGAGCTTGTAAAATTTTGTGGCAATTTCCAAAAGTGAACTGTTTGTGGACATGTACAAGAACATCTAGTACACATTGTGCTGCCGGAAAATAGCACTTAAGATACTTAAGAGTTAGACCATCATACTTTCTTATCAAGAGTTCTGGGTAATTTTTCTTTAGGTTCAAGATGTAAACTTTCCTTTATATGAAACACACAATTTATTTCATGGCTATCCACAAACTTATTTAGCTGCTGTGTTGTAGCTGTGTGTAGCCTTGATATATGATACATTTTCTGACCATTTAACTGGGAGACTTAGGAATGTTTTTCATCTAGTAAATGATGGCATTTGACTAAATTAAGACTTTTCCCCCTATCATTTCAGCTTAAGTATATGGGCCTAAATCGTCTTGAAGTAGAAGAAAGTGATAGTGAAGAAGAAACTCTTCATATTGGATTCTTACCTGAAGATTCCTGGCTCAGAGTAGGAATAATATCAGTAAAATACTTAAAGAGTGCTCCAACATTCCACTTTTTGTAAGTTTATTTGGGGCCTGGCAGAGGGGTTGATATCTGATAAGTTCTCTGTTTTACAGATAACATTATATTTAGCATAAGTATCGATGAACTTCATAAAGCACTTAAATTTTTTTTTTTTAATTAACAAGCATGTATTTTCTCTCCCAAATGAACAAGGAAAAAAAAGGAAAACCCTCATAACAAGTATGTATAGTCAAGCAAAGCAAATTCCTGCATTGGCCATGTCTAAAAATGTATATCTCATTCTGCATCCAGTCTTTCACCTCTCTGTCAAGAGGTGGGTAGCATGCTTCATCTTCAGTCCTCTGGAATTGTGATTTGTCATTGCATTGGTCAGAAATCTTGTCTTTTAACTTTATTTTTTTAATAATTTATTTATTTTTAGTTTTCAACATTCAATTGCATAAGATTTTGAGTTTTAAATTTTCTCCCCTTCCTTCTCCTTCTCCATCCCCAAGACAGTGTATAATCTGATAGGCTCTACTTATACATTCATATTAAGCATGTTTTCCCATTAGTCATGTATGTTTTCATCTGCATTCAGACTCTTTTTCTCTGGATGTGGATAGCGTTTTCCATCATAAGTCTTTGAAGTTTCTTAGATCCTTGCATTGCTAAGAAGAGCCTAGTCTATCAAAGTCAGTCATCACACAGTGTGGCTGTTACTGCGTACAATGTTCTCCTGGTTCTGCTCATTTCACTCAGCATCAGTTCATATAAGTCTTTCCAGATTTTTCTGAAGTCTGCCTGTTCATCATTTCTTACAACACAATAGTATTCCATTACATTCATATACCACAACTTGTTCAAGTCATTCCCCAATTGATGGGCATCCCCTCAGTTTCCAGTTCTTTGCCACCACAAAAAGAGGTACAGTAAAAATTTTTGTACATGTGGGTCCTTTTCCCATTTCTATGATGTGTTTGGGATACAGACCTAGAAGTGGTATTGCTGGGTCAAAGGGTATGCATAGTTTTATAGCCCTTGGGGCATAGTTCCAAATTGCTCTCCAGAATGGCTGGATCAGTTCACAACACCACCAACAATGCATTAGTGTTCCAATATTCCCACATCGCCAACATTTATCATTGTCTTGTTTTGTCATGTTAGCCAATCCAATAGGTGTGATATGGTACCTCAGAATCGTTTTGATTTGCATTTCTCTAATAGTGATTTAGAACATTTTTTCATATGACCATAGATAGCTTTAATTTGTTCCTCTGAAAACTGCCTGTTCATATCCTTTGACCATTTATCAATTGGGGAATGACTTGTATTCTTATAGAGTGGACTCAGTTCTCCATATATTTTAGAAATGAAACCTTTATCAGAGATAGTGGTTGTAAAAATTCTTTCCCAGTTTTCTACTTCCCTCCTAATGTTGGATGCATTGGCTTGTTTGTGTAAAAACTTTTCAATTTAATGTAATCAAAATTATCCATTTTGCATTTCATAATGTTCTCTAACTCTTGTTTGATCATAAATTCTTCCCTTCTTCATAGATCTGAAAGGTAAACTATTCCTTGCTCTCCTAGTTTGCTTATAGTATTAGTCGTTATATCTAAATCCTGTGCCCATTTTTACTTTATCTTGGCATAGGGAGTATTAACTTTATTTTAAAAATATTATTATTATTATTATTATTATATTTTTTTAAAAATAATGTTATTACATAAACCATTCTTCTAGTTCTCGTTTACTATGCCTATTTTATATAGGCTCTCCCAGTTTTCTTGGAAACCATCCATTACGTCATTTCTTATGACAATAAGAATAATTTGTATACCATGATTTATTTAGTGGTCTCCAATAGATGGATATCCTCTTAGTTTCTACTTTTTTGCCACTATGAAAAAGAACTATCATAAATATTTTTGTATGTGTGGGTCTTTTAAAAATTTCTTCCATATTTTTGGGGTGTAGAGCTAAGTGGTTTGGTTAGGTCGGAGGATGTGCATAATTTAATGACTTTTTTGACCCATTTACAGTTGTCCAATAGTGCATTAATGTATCATTTTCCTGCCACCCCTCTAACAATTGTCATTTTCTTTTTTTGTCAGCTTTGCCAGTCTGAAGGGTATGATGTAGAACATCAGTTACTATAATTGCATTTCTCTAATTAACAATGATTTGGAGCCTTTATTCATATAATTGCTTGGATTTCTTCCTTTGAAAACTGCCTGTTCATATCTTTTGACCATTTATCAATTGAGGAATAGCTTTTGTTCTTATAAATTTGAGTCAAGTCCTTATGTATTTCAATGCAAAGATTTTTTTCCTAATTTCCATTTTTCCTTCTCATTTTAATTGCATTTTGCTTTGTGCAGAACTTTTTAATTTTATATCATATAGCTCCAAACTAGGCTCAGGTGTTGGTCCCTCAGTTCAGTTATAATCTAATTTTGACCCAGTACCTGTAGCAGCTTCCCTGGCAAAATTTCTCCCTAACCCGTGTCTCTTAACACCCTGTGTCCTAGATGACCTCAAGGCTGTGGCAGGCACTCAGCTCTGCCTTCCAGGTAAGTGTCTAGTGAATAAGAGAGTCCATCACCCCTTTTCATTTTCATAGGGACAGAGTTAGTGGCACAGGATTAACAGATGTAGATGGATTACCATCTGAATTGCAGATTATTGTTATGTTATCTTTCCCCCAAAACTTAATTCTCTTCTGAATTTCCCTGTTACTGTGGAAGACACCACCATTCACTCATGTTCTCAACTTCTATGTCATCTTTAATTCTTCACTCATATCTCATATCTGGTGACTTGCCAGATGTTGTCATTTCTACTGTACATCTCACATTTATCCCCTTCTCTCTACTCTGATTCAGACCCTCTTCACCTCTTGCCTGAACTGTTTCAATGGCCTCTTAATTGATCTCACAGCTTCAAGTCTCTCCCTTCCTCAGTTCTTCCTCCAGACAGCTGCCCAAGTGATTTTCCTAAAGCTCATACATATTCAAGTTCACATGGCTCCCTATTGACTCTGGGATCAACTATTATTTTATCTTGATTGTATCCTTTTATTCTTAAACATTTTATGTATTTTAAATAATATACATAATTACTAGTATGGTAATACATATGTATTATTTCTAAATAAGCAAATATATACATATTGGGGGTTAATGCTCAAAATTTTCTTATTGATTCAGTGTATGATCAAAAAAGTTTGGAAACTATACCACATTTCCTCTTCCTTCTTTAAAGGAGATTTTACTTTTTTAAAATTTTCTAAGATGCTTGATATAGTGGTTGGAGTACTGGATTTGGTGTCAGGAGGCCTGAATTAAAATCATAATTCTGTTACTACCTGTATCAGCATGGGCAAGTCATTTAAATTCTATTGGTCTCAGTTTCCAGATCTTTAAAATATACTAGCTGAGTTTATCTCTAAGGTCCTTTCCATCTTCTAAATTTGAGATTTTCCTCCTGAAAAGAAATTCCGCCTTCTAGAAAATTAGTCCCAGGAGGGTATGGGAGCTATATCCTATCAGTATTTCCCTCGCAGAGACCTAGTGCCTTACCCCGTTTAAAGAACTTCTCCCTCCCCACTTCTCTATCCCTTATCTTCTGCAGTAAATACAAGGTCAAGTGAGTATGGGTTGGAGGAAGCTTTATTTGGGTAGGCTCAGCCACTTAAGACAAACTGAAAATGTGGAACGAGGTATTTTTAGTTGAGAAAACTTTAGAAAACTGTTGGATATGTACAAGAAGATTAAGGAGACAGTAAATGAAATCCCATTTTGTAGTATTCCTGAAGCTTTTTTGGTAGCCACGTATCTTTGAGATGTCCCTCAGTACAAATCACTTAGTTTGTAGAACTAGAGCTAGAACAAGCCTTCTTGGTCACTAATCCGACCCCTTATTTTAAAGATTGGCAAATGAGGCCCAAAGAGGTAAATGGACTTGCTCAATGTCACAGAGAGGACTGGTGTTCAAACCCAGGCCATTGACCTCCAAGGGAAGTGAGTGCTCCTTCTAGTGCACCATGTTGAGCAGGAGTTACTTAATGACTTTGGTAAACCATCATTTTCTTGAACAGATAGGTTTTTTTCCTCATTCTAATTAGGTTTGGTTCATTCAAGACTGATCCTCCTGTGCCAAAGCAACGGAATGAACGTCAGAGAAGAGAAGAGAAGAATGAAGAAGAAAGGGCCATGCCTGCCGAGGTTTGCTTCTTTCAGTCATTATTGTTTTTATATTTAGATATAGTCAGCCATCTTTATCAATTTCAAAGACATTATCATATGGGAGGGAGGTTGTGAGAAAGGAAAATAGGATGCATTTTTAGAACTCTATTTTTCTTGTGATTTTCTATCATTCTTATATTTTGATGCCTTTTTTTAAATGGGACTTTGTTTTGATTCATTTTGGAATTCAGTTTTCAGTTTCTCTTCTATAACCACTCTAAGAAATGTTTTGTTAACTTCATTGTTTTCTTCTGTTAGTAGTATGGATAATTTTTTTCAAATCCTGTTATTAGAAATGGAAAGTTTATATTTATTCTTTTTAAATGTAATATTTATGGTATTTGATAAATTTATGCTTGGATGTCATCCTTGCCGCCACCTAGTAAATAAGTGGTTTGCAGCTAGGGAGAATAGATAATCATATTTTCTCACGTTGCAAGAAACTCAGAGATAACTTAGTCCATCCTGTACCTGGATAGGAATCCCTTCTAATATTCCTTAGGTTTGATCATATATATACATACATACATACACACACACACACACACACACACACACGCACACACACACACATTTGAAGACAGTTATATTATGTGCCACTACTGGCTAAATAAGCTTCAGTACCTTCAAGTTTCCCTTATTTTCTGTGGTTTCCTGTGCACTCACTCACTTTGTTGCCCCTTTAGTGTGCTCCGTTTTGTTAGGAGTCCTCCTCGGATGTGGTTACTGAAATCTAGAAATGATACTTTAGATGTGGTCTCATCTGGGTAGCGTACAATAAAATTACCATCTCTCTCCTTTTGTACATAATGAATTATGTATTAATTAATGAAACTTAAGATCCCATTAGTGTTTTTGGCTTCCATCCCCTAATATGGCTTCATTTTGAGCTGGTTGTCCACCAAAACCCTGGGTCTTCCATAGAAGCTTGATGAGTATGAGTAGGTACGTGAGGGGCCCATCTTGTTTCTGGTAAAACCTTTTTGCATAATGGTGATGGTGAGCATTCATGTTTGTTAACTTACTTGTACTTTCCAGTTGAAAAAAATGGAGGAGTCCCAACAGGAGGCTACAGAAAAGGAGGTAGAAAGGATCTTGGGATTACTGCAGACCTATTTTAGTGAAGAGCGTGAGTGTGACATCAGCTTGTGACTGGAACAGTATGCATTTATAAAGTAGTTATAAATTTTACATAAAGTGATTTCTTATAAAAGGTGTTTGATTTTTATCTTTTAAAAAAATTATATTTAAAACTTGATTTTTAAGTATTTTTACAAAAAATTAGGGGCAGCTAGGTGGCCCAGTGGATAGAGCACTGGCCCTGAAGTCAGGAGTACCTGAGTTCAAATCTGGCCTCAGACCAAACACTTGACACTTACTGGCTGTGTGACCCTGGGCAAGTCACTTAACCCCAATTGCCTTTAAAAAAAAAACCCAAAAAACCCCCAAAAAACAAAAAATTAGTTGCCATCTTTTAGTTAATACCACTTCCACCTTTTGGAGGAATGCTGTTGTGTGGACTTCGGTGAAAAATTACTTTTTCTTTTCTATTTTCCTATGTTTATAGCCGAGACTCCTATATCCTTCTTTGACTTTGTGATTGATCCAGATTCTTTTGCTCGAACTGTGGAAAATATTTTCCATGTTTCCTTCATTGTAAGGGTAAGGCTTAATTACAAATTTTTCAACTGTTTTGTTAAGCAAAAAGACTACAAATAACATACATAAAAGAATTGCTCAAGCTAGTTTTTCAAAAACCCTTATTGTTGCTGGCTATTTGAAAAGAAATGTTTGTATGTAAATATGTAGAAGAAACTAACCCAGATGTTCTCTGTACTGTTGGTTTTACCATATCATTAAGATAGAATTGTTTAAAATAAATTAATATCATGAGTTTGCATCTTTGAAATTTTAAAAGCTGTTTTGAAATATTGTAATAAGAGTTTGATACAGCTAGTCATTAAACCAATGTCAAGACATTTCCTTAAAAAGATGTAGACTGAATCTGAGTTTCTGATAGAAATTGTGTAGTTAGGAGATAGATTTTTGATTGGTAGTATTGTGCCCACTTTAAAATAGAAAACATAATATTACCTATATAAACACACTTATATACCATGTGTATAATCACTTGATTTACTTTTATATTATGCTACTGCAAAGCTTTCTGAAGTAGGTATCACAGTCATAGAATGCATGAATGAAAGGAAGCATTTCCTTAATTAATTAAAAGCATTTCTTGTGTATCAAGCACTGTGCTAAGTACTGATACAAAGAGAAAAAACTACAGTTTTTTTCCTAAGGAACCTGGAAGTCCAGTTGGGGGAGAAAACACACAAAACCAAGTTCAGCCACAGAGTCAGTGGGAAAGCCCAGAAGTCCTAAAGGGGCCCCCCAGTGTTAGCAGTCTTCCCATCCTCCTGAAACCTGGAATTGATAATAAGATCCATGTGTATGCTGCCTCCTGCAAGTATTGAAAGTAAAGTGTCTCCAAAGCAGAGATAGGAGAAGAAATCCTCACTCCACCCCACTCCTTGCACAGAGAGGATGTCCATAAGTGTGGAATGTTGCATATATTTTCAGACTTTTTCAATATATTGATCAGTTTTCCTGGGCAGGAGGTGGAGTTCCTCTTTTTCTTTTTTCTTTAAAAAAATATTCTTTGTTAGATGGGTTGGCTTTTTGGGAGGGGGGAAGCAGGAGGATACTGGGATAAATTTTGGTAATGATAAAATCAAAGATATCAACAAATACATTTTGTAAAGTCCTAACATGAGTATACTTTGCAGAGCATTAAGTCAAGGACTGGCGCTACCATGGATAAAACACTAACTCTTCAGTCAGACAGATCCTACCTTTGTCCATCTCTTGCTTGGCCACTTTTAGTGGCCTTTACTTTTGAAGGCAGGCTTTCCCATTGCTGGACAGCTTTCAGTGCTCATTCTTTTCTTACTATAAAGTTGGATTCTTGGTCTGCCAAATACTGCTGAGTTTAACACATAACTGAAGCAGCTGAAGTTTTGTGTTCATTGGCATAGATTTGTGTATGTAGGTCCTTTTGTAGTGCAGAATATCAAGATTTATATTACTGGCCACAAGAAGACAGGAAAGTTAAGGAAAATCTTGTTTCATAGCCTTTATTTGTACTGTTACCTCTGTTTTCTAATGCCATATTGCTACCATTTGAGAGATATGTGTTGAAAATAAGTAATGATGTCTCATCTTAATAACAGGTAGTAAAATTATGTATCACATTTGTATTTTAGGATGGTTTTGCAAGAATAAGGCTTGACCAAGATAAACTGCCAATAATAGGTAATGATTCTGTTTAAAAAATGTAGTTTATGGAGACTTGGCCTTTTTAATTTAAGATGACAGATTTTTATTTTGTTAAAAGTAAATGAGTTTTATTGCAAGGTTTACATTTTTATTTCATTATTACATAATGCTTAACAGCTGAAAACTGGAAATATAAGATTAGTTAAAAACAATAAACATAATTATAGGTAAAATACATTTTCATATTAGTATTATCTTTATACTATGAGAGATAAAATAACTGAATAGAGCTCTGGGCCTAGAGGCAGGAAGACCTGAATTCAAATCCAGCCTCAGACATTTGTTAGCTCTGTGACCCTGGTTAAGTCACTTAACCTTTGTCTGCCTCAGTTTTCTCAACAATAAATTGTAGGTAATAATAGCCCCTATCTCCCAGGGTTCTTGTGACGCTCAAATGAGATAACATTTGTAAAAAAAACCGCTTAGCACAATGCCTGGAAACATATAGGCTCTATGTATGTAAATGCTTATAGTCTTCCTCTAAAAGGTGATAAAATTTCCTTAAAATTTTAAATTTTCTTCCTTTTTCTCTATTTCTTGTTTTTTCTGGCACCTTTTCCTTCAGTCTTTTAATACAGTTTGTTGGGGCTCATTTATTGATCCTCCACTCTTCTCCATCTGCATTCTCAAATTTGCAATTGCTCATAGGATGTCACCAGTCGTTTTCTTACCCCAAACAAGCACCATTTCCTAATTTTCCTTTTGTTTTTAATCAAACTATAGTCATCCAAGTTCTTCATGCACATAACTATGGAATGTTCTGCTCATAGTCTGCTAATTCTCCCTTACATTTTAATTTGATTATCACAAAGTCCTGTCTTTTCTTCCCTCACAGTTTCTCTTGGGTGAGGTTGGATGAAACCCATTACTTGCAGTAATACTTTTAGTCCAAGTCTTCTTACATCAAGCTTTCAGTGGTATAAGTGTCTAATCCATTTGATCTTCCTCTGGTCTCTCCTACTCTAAACCTCTTTATATGGAACAATTTCCATCATGTCTTTTTATTACTTAAAGCCAAAATGGTTTCCCATTACCTATCACACATCAAGAAACTTGCTGGCTCAATAAATCTGTATGTTAAGCACGTTTCCTCTTTGCCTATTCAATCTGATTACTACCCAGAATAGTTCTTTTGTTCCATCCTGGCCACTTTGTTTGCCCCACCCCTTTAGGCAGTGTTAGTAATTTTCAGATTACTTTACTTTAAGTAATGGCTTTATTTAAGCCATTTTCTTCACTTAGAATTCATTCCTTTTTCTACTGATCCATATCCGTTATTTCCTATAATATGAAACTCTAATCCATGTCTTGAGAAAGGCTAACCTAATCACTCTGCTTTATTTCATTTTCTTTAAACTCCCACGCATACATGTATGTCTCATAATATATGTTCTTGTGTGCACTTATATGCTGTTTTGAAATTTTCCTCTTGTTTTAGCCAACTTATATCATAAATTCCTTAACACCAGTGGTAGTGTTCTCTCCTTTCTTAGTTTCACCCAAAGTGCCTTTTGTATTACCACGCATTCTGTAGACACTCAGTATGTTTGTAAGGGGAAAAATAATTATTTACCTAATACCCAATTACTGTTGAAATAAAAGGAGGTAAATTCATATTGTTATTTGGTGGGGAGGGGTGCAGTTGGGGTTAAATGACTTGCCCAGGGTCACACAGCTAATATGTATCTGAGGCTAGATTTGAACTTGGGTCCTTCTGACTCCAGGGCCAGTGCTCTATCCACTGTAAACCCCTAGCTGCCCCAAATTCATATTGTTGTTGCAGTAAATTGAGAATATATTGACATGTCCCATGCCATTGGATCAAATTGTTAAGTGTGTTTTAAATTAAACAGAGTGGCATGTAAATACTCGATTCAATAACAAATGCCTTTAAAGTTTACAATCCTGTTATTGGTGAAATACTCTTCTGATTTAATCACTTTTGAAAATGTTCTCTTTTCTAATAGAGCCCATTACTCAGGGTAATGAGGAAAGTGAACAACAAAGTACCCAAATCAGGCACCAAGACATTATATCACTGAGTTATCAAGACTGGAAGGTAAAGTCCATGTCTTCTGCTTCCCAAATCTTGACTTTCTGCATTGGTTTCAAGTTGAATAGCATTTTCTTTAATGTTCATTTTTCTGTCAGGACATTGTGAGAACTTTTGAAATTTCACAGCCAATGATCCCTCCTCCGTGTTGTAGCAAGTAAAATCCAAGCTTTCAAAGGTATGGTTCCATGTTATTTGGCATCCAAAAACTACTTTCCTGCATGACCTATACCACTGAGGTAATTGGCTCTGTCTTCTCTAGTTTTATGGTCTGTAGTTGATGTGTGTCTCCTTCATCTTCTTTTGTCATACCATTGTCTTGTTGACTGTAGGCCGCTGGCAGGACAAACATTATCAGCTAAGTATAATTATGCTTTAGACAGAGTTGTATGGTGATTCTGACAGAGAAAATTATATCCATGTTAAAAGCAGGTAAAGCAGGAATTTGTCCTCTTGAAGGAGTACCAAAAAGTTCGATCTTCCCACAACTTGAATTGATTCCTTTTTCTACTCTTACATAGAGAAAGCTTCAAATCAAAAGGTGAAGATTAGGAAAGAGAGACTTTGGTTATACTTCTAAATATTCCATTCTTCCCTTTTCTGTTCCCTAATATCACTCTTTAATACCTGGTAGTTACTATAAAACCTTTAAAATTAAGGGATGTTTTGATGTCATATTTATTTTTCGTTGTTATATGACACAATAACTTTGGAAGTTGTTCAGAGATAATGCATAAATATCTAGTTACAATGAATTGTATTTGCAAATGGAGCTATTTTTTAGTTTCTCATTATAAAATATGTTTTTATGGATTAAAATTTTTCTGTAATGAAATCGGTCACTAAGTGGTTTAGGAAAAGCTTTCCATTTGCTGATTATTGCACAATTTAGACCCTCAAGCTTAGTAGCAATATTTAGAAATGGGTTGAAATTACATTTTTGTTATTTGAGGCACATTTTAATATTTTGCGATTAATTGTTGACCATTATATTATTACTAAAATATAATTTAGCTATTAATATTTTTACTTTCCGATCTTATAAGAATATTGTTTTTCATATCTACAACTTTTGACAGCCATGTAGATGAATGTTTTATTTTCAGTTATCCTGCTGCGTGTCTGCCAATGAAAGTGGGACTAGCACCAAAAATTTAGAGTTGTGAAAAAGGAGGGCCCTGCAGGGGCTCTGCCAGACAATAGCAACTTCACTTGAGTAAATGAATGTTAGGAGGTCAGTAATAGTTGTCATCACCAGCCATCAATGCCTTTTTTATTTTTTTTTGGGTAAAACTTACTGTTGTTTCAGTAAGCTGCTGAAGTAAGCTGTGTTTCCCTGGCTTATTGTGAGGGACCCTTTCTAGACAGCAGCTAGGCAATGACTTGGAAAGCACACACAGCTGGTGAGAAGACAGCTCGTATTGAAAAAGAACAATGCTTAGTATATACCAACAGCTATAAACATTGCTACCATCAGTGAGGCAAATCAAATAGGATTACCCTTTTCATAACCCTTAAGTTTCCTTTGTGTAAACTGTTTTCCTGCCATAAGGCTATTACTGATTTTTGTTTTGGCCTGTATAAAAATCAGAGAGAATGGGATGCTTAGCATGTGATTTGCCTTGGCTTTTGTACTTCTGTAGGGCTTTCCTGATAATCCTGCACACTAAGTTATATTAATTGGATTTTCATTTGAATTTGTGTTTTGATTGATTATTCCTTATTTCTAGGTGTCCCAAATGAAAATTGGCACTTCAGATGGAAAGCAGCATATATCATTTATTGTATTATGAAACGTGTTTTTCAGAGAATCAGATGTTTAGGGTTTTTTTTGTTTACGTGTATTTTATATTATTGTTTATGAAGCTGCCTTGCTTTCCTATGATTAAAGAGATTCACTGCCATCTGTTACATAATTGTCTGTCGTTTTTATTGATTCTTCCAGTATTATGTTTTATGATCCTTTAACTTTATTTAGGTCATTTGCCCATGAGTCTTCACAGATCTCTATGCAGATGACTCACATCTTTATATTCGGTTCCACTCCTTCCCCCTGAACTTCAGTCCCCTGTCACTAGTTAACCTATTGAATATCTCAAACTATCTCAAACTGGGTGTTACAGAGATATCTCAACATGAAAACTGAACTCATTTTTTCCCCAAGACCCATTAGCTTTCCAAACATTCCTAGTTCTTTTGGAGGCATCACCCAGTTTGTTAGTTTACAAATCTTACTGCTTCTGTCTTCATAATATCTTTTGTATCTGGGTCGTTGTATCTTCTCCCAGTCTTAGTTCAGTCATTCATCACCTCTTACCTGGATTATTGCAATGATTGTCTATGGGTAGGAGGGCTGTGGCTGTACTACCAATAACCCGAGGGGTGAAGTGGGAAAGAGCACAGCTGTGGTCATATAGGGGTGCAAGGGTTTTGTAAGGGTTTAGAACAGGGTGGGGAACCTGCAGCCTCGAGGCCACATGTGGCCTTCTAGGTCCTAGGGTGTGGCCTTTTGATTGAGTCCAAGTTTTACGAACAAATCTGTTTATTAAGGGGATTTGTTCTGTGAAGTTTGGATTGGGTCAAAGGGCCACACTTGAGGACCTGGAGGGCCACATGTGGACTCAAGGCTGCAGGTTCCCCACCCTTGGTTTAGAATAAAAGCTGCTTTCCACAGTTGCTCTAAAGGGGAAGTTGGCAATTACTTTGGGCAGTTTAGCTCCCTCCTACCAAATGCTTGGTACACAAAAAATATCATAGTGAGCAAACCCATTTATCCAAGCAAACAGTAAATAGGAATCAGTGAAATTATACAGATTAGAACAGGGAAAACAATACTTAAAGAGTAAGCAGGCTTTTTGAGATCAAAGAGGAAAGATTTTATAAGGGTAATTTGTTCTTAGCAATCTTTGGGGTATAGGAACTGGGAATAAAGGAACATGTTGAGGAAGGCCAGCTTCTCTATGTATCTCAGGGCTCCTAGATGATCTTTATCCTAACGTTCAAAAATTAATACTTAGGCTGATACCATAAGCAAACTGGGAAAGCAAGGAATAGTTTACCTGTCAGATTTATGGAGAACAGGAGAATTTATGACCAAATGAGATAGAGAACATTTATGAAATACAAAATGGATAATTTTGATTACATTAAATTGAAAAGTTTTTGCACAAACAAAGCCAATACAAACAAGATTAAGAGGGAAGCAGAAAACTAGGAAAGAATTTTTATAACCAGCATCTCTGATAAAGGCTTCATTTCTAAAATATATAGAGAACTAAGCCAAATTTATAAGAATACAAGTCACTGCCCAATTGATAAATGGTCAAAGGATATCAACAGGCAGTTTTCAGAGGAAGAAATTAAAGCTATCTATAGTCATGAAAAAATGCTCTAAACCTATTGATTAGAGAAATGCAAACCAAAACAACTCTGAGGTACCACATCACACCTATCAGATTGGCTAACATGACAAAACAGGAAAATAATAAATGTTGGAGAAGATGTGGAAAAGTTGGAACACTAATGCATTATTGGAGTTGTGGACTGATCCAACCATTTTGGAGATCACTTTTGAACTATGCACAAAGGGCTATAAAAATGTGCATAGCCTTTGACCTAGCTATACCACTTTGACCCAGCTATACAACTTCTAGGCCTGTATCCCAAAGACATCATAAAAATGGAAAAAGGACCCACATATACAAAAATTTTTACAGCAGCTCTTTATGTGGTGGCAAAGAATTGGAAATTGAGGGGATGCCCATCAACTGGGGAATGGCTGAACAAATTGTGGTATATGAATGTAATGGAATACTATTGTGCTATAAGAAATGATGAGCAATCATACTTCAGAAAAACCTGGAAAAACTTGTATGGACTGATGATGAGTGAAGTGAGCAGAACCAGGAGAACATTGTACAGAGTAACAGCCACGCTGTATGATGACTAATTTTGATAGACTTAGCTCTACTCAGCAATGCAAGGATCTAAGACATCTCCAAAAGTCTCCTGATGGAAAATGCTATCCACATCCAGAGAAAAAACTATGGAGTTTGAATGCAGATCGAAGCATACTATTTGCTTTTTTTTTCTTCTGTTTTGTTTCTTTCTTGTTCCTCATATTGGTTCTAATTCTTCTTTACAACATGACTAATGTGAAAATATGTTTAATAGGAATGTATATGTAGAGCCTATATCAGATTGCACACCATCTTGGGGAGGGAGGTGGGGAAGGAAGGGGAGAAAATTTAAAACTCGAAAGCTTATGGAAATGATTGCTGAAAACTAAAAATAAATTAACTAATTAAAAAAATTAATACTTAGTCTCTTAAACTTATTCCAAAGTCTGTTCAGTCAGGATCTTAAAGGTCTCAGCTAATCAGGAGTTTATGTCTCTGCAAATATAAACTCACAGGATGATCCTTTAAGAAACTCTAGTAGGCTTGGGACAGTAGTGGAGTTAATTTATGATCCCTAAATGTCTGGGAGTCTCAGTCAACACCATTTTCAAAAATGCTTAAATATTACAAGATCATTTAGCAGTTGGAATACTATGTTTTTACAGATTAATTTGGGCCCACTAGAAGTTTGCTGGTCTGTGGCTTGAGTTACCCCTTTGATACTTGAAGAGCCTAGAGAGAAAGTAGCCACTTGGTCCCAAGACAATACAAATCATGACTAAACTAAGACATTCCCTGCAGGATGTCTTACAGAGCCTGGCCTTAACACAAAGTCTCCATTCAAAAAGTAAGGCCAGAGGAAAGAGTTAACAAAAAAAAAAAAAAAAGACTCCCATTATAAAGTGCTATTATGGTCCCAGAAAGGTCCCAGAAAATCCTAGTGGTCAGAACCAACAGACATGCTGTTTGAAAGGAGTCACTGACCCATTATGAGAGATTTCTAAGTGCTAACTGTGGCAAAGCAGACAAACTATGTTGCATACACAAATCCTTAGTCATAACTAGTCATAACTAGACACTAACTAGACACACAGGTTAAATATAAGTTCAGCTAGAATTCTTGGAAGAACTAAAGTGAAAGTCAAGTAAAATTTTAAAAATTATAAATGAAATAACATTAGAGGAAAGAATTGGAAAAGAAAAAGTTTTGGAAGAAAGACTCTGAAGGAGAATTAATAGCTTAATACAAGAGGTACAAAACTTTTCCTAAGCAACAGATAACCTTGAAAAGTAGAGTGGATGAAACAAAAGTTAATGACTCATGAGACAAAAAATATTAAAACAAAGTAAAAAAATTAAAAAAAAACAGAGCAAAATATAAGATGTCTCAAAAACGAAACAAAACAAGAGCAAATGACCTCAAAATTAGATCAAGGAGAAGACTAAAGAATTATTGGACTACTTGGAATCCATGACAAAAAAAAAAAAAGCTTGAACATTATATTTCAAGAAATCATGAAAGAAAATGCCCATATCTATTAGAACCAAATGGCAATGTGAAAATAGAATCCACCAGTCACCTCCTGAAAGAAATACCAAAATGAAAATTCCCAGAAACATTACAGCCCAAATCCAAAACTACCAAATCAAAAAGAAAATACTGCAAGCAGCTTCAAAGATTTTAAGTACCAAGGAGCCAAATTCAAGATCACATAAGATTTAGCAGCTACTGCTATAAAGGAGCAGAACAAATGGAATATAACATTCCAAAAGGCAAAATATATAGACTTATAACCCCAAATAACCTATTTCCCCAAACTCAGTATAATCCTACAAGGGAGAAAATGTGCCTTTAATAAAATAGAGGACTTCCAGTCATTCCTGATGAAAAGGCCAGAGCTGGGAAGAAATTGAAAAACAAACATGGAAGTCAGAGAAACATGCAATGGTAAGAAACAGTGAGCTATCAAAAGGGACTAAATAAGAATGAAGTATTTACATTCTTCTAAGAGAATGTAAGAGAATAGAATGAAGAAAAATACAGAGTGATCATAACTGTTAATGTGGATGACATTAACTCACTATAACAATGGAAGTTGAAAGCAGAATGGATTAGGAAGCAGAATCTAATAATAAACATGGCATTTAGAAGAAATATTTTTGGAACATAAAAATCCACAACAGAGTTCAAATAAGGGGCTAGAGCAATATCTATTGTATTTCAGCAGAACTTAAAAATCTAGGGGTATCAATCATAATCTTAGATAAGGTAACAGCAAAAACAGGCTCAATTAAAAGGTATAATTTATTGTGCTAAAAGAACACATAGAAAATGAATTAATGATAATATATGTGTACCCAATGGCATAGCATTAAAAAAAAAGTAAAGGAAAAGGTAAACAAATTATAGGGAGAAATGCAGTAAAACTATTATTAGTAGAGATTTCAATATACCCCTTAGACAAATCTAACCAACAAATAAACAAGAAAAAAGCTAAGCATGAATAGAATTTTGAAAGTTAGATATGATAGACTTCCCACAATTACTGACTGAAAATAGGAGTATACATATTTGTCAGCTGTGGATGAAGCCTTTAGAAACATTGACCATGTATTAGGGCATAAGAACCTCACAAATGCACGAAAGCAGAAATATGAAACATGATTTACTGACCACAATGGAATAAAATTGCATTCAATAAGGGCCACTGAAGGATTAAAATTAATTAAAGACTAAATAACTTAATTCTCAAGTATTATAGGTCAAAGGACAAAAAATAGAAACACAGATCATTTCATTAAACATCATGACAGCAGTGAGACAACATACTGACATTTTGGGAATACAGCCAAAGCAGTACTTAAGGGAAAATTTATGTCTCTGAAAATTTTTGTTAAACAAGAAAGAACAGATCAAGGAAGTGATTATGTAACTACAAAAACAACCTAGAAAACCAAAAAAATTTAAAGCCTCAATAAAGCACCAGTATAAAAGTGCTAAAAATCAAGCAA